GAAGAGAGACAGATGATCAGAATGGCTGGAATGTGGATATGGGAGAGAGAAAATCAGCAGGGGATACCCGGGGAACAGAAACTCCCCGTAACCCCTCTGCAGTGGAATCAGAATGAACAAGAGGGGAGGAGAGATATGAGTGACTATAGGTCATTATAGTAAGAGTCTGGATGAACTCCTGAGAGAAGCACAGAAAGTATATGTTAGGAAGGATGAAGAAAAGGCTAAAACTAAAGCTAAAATTATGATAACTGCACAAGAGGTTGTTAGAAATAAACACAGGGAATCTCAGAAGGGAAATTACAAATTTGAAAAAAAAAAAAAAAAATAAGGGAATTAAAGGGAAAGTGGGACCAAAAGAAGAGGCACCACTGGCTACAGAAATCACAAGGGGATGTTTTTATTGTGGGAAAGGGGGGGCATTATAAACAAGAATGCCCCCAGAAAATACGGGACCTGTTGGTGTTTGAAGTAACCCAACAGGATAAGGGTGGTAATCATTAGGGGTGTCAGGGGCTCTAGCTCCTGGGGGTTATACCAACAGAAGTGCCCTTGATAAATTTGAAATTAAGTCCCCAGGAGGAAGATTATGTAAAAGATACAACCTGGGCTGTAGGGGCTAAAGGCAAAGGGGTTTTGGTCCCAGCTATAAAGAATGTGTTAATACAAGGGGAAGATCAATATGCTGTTAATGATCTGTTGTTAACGCCAGGGGTAGGATGTAATTTGCTAGGTAGAGATTTACAAGTGCAATTAGGAATAGGTGTGATGCTGGATGAAGGAAAACTGGTGGTTAAATTACTAGAATTATGGGAGGAGAATTGGGGAGGATATTCAGGAACCAGAGCATGACTGTTTGGATTTTATAAGTTATCAAACGAAAATCAGAGATCTGTTAGATGAACCTTTGCCCTATAGGAAAAACCTATTTATTGATGGGTCCTCTCGGTGCCTAGAAGGGAAAAGAATATCGGGTTATGTAATTATCGAGGGGTAGAAGATGGAAGTGTTTGAAAAGGGGAAATTGCCTGCTGAGTGGTCAGCACAAGTCTGTGAACTCTATGCCCTAAAACAGGCATTGGTATATTTGAGAGATAAGGAAGGGACAGTGTACACAGACTCAAAGTATGCATTTGGAGTGGTCCACACATTTGGAAAAATATGGGAAGGAAGAGGGCTTATAAATACAAAAGGGAAGGAGCTAGTACACGAGCGGCTGATCAGAGAAGTTTTAGAAGCCCTGAAGCTCCCTACAGAAATTGCAACTGTGCATGTGAAAGGACATCAGAGGGGAGCATCGATGGAAATAAGGGGGAATAATTTAGCAGATTAAGTAGCCAGAGAAGCAGCTACAGATTCATCATCAGTAGTTTTATTGGTAATAACACCAGGGGATTATGAGAATTTAGCCCCGAATTTCACAGAACAAGAGGTTATACTTAAAAGTAGGGGGGGGAAAGATCCAGAAGGAAAATGGACTTTATCAGATGGAAGGTAGATGTTAAATAAAACATTATCATGAGAAATTCTGTCATCAATACATCAGAAAATACATTGGGGAACACAATCACTTTGTGATCATTTTCTTAGACAATATGGGAGTATAGGAATATATATGGAGGCTAAACAACTAGTTGATCGATGTCTGATTTGTTAAAAAGTGAACAAAAAGGTAATGAGAAAAAGGTGGCTGGGGAACAGGAGCTAGCCATACAAAGCCTCCAGGTAGACTTAACAGAGCTACCTCAAGTACAAGGGTGGGAGTATTTGTTGGTATTAGTGGCTCACTTAACGCATTGGGTGGAAGCAATCCCCCACACCAAGGGCAATGGCAGCCATGGTATCCAAGGTGTTATTGGAAAACATTATCCCCAGATATGGATTAATAGAAAGAATAGACTTGGATAGAGGAACACATTTCATTTTAAAAATTATGCAACAACTATCTGAAGCCTTAGGGATCGAATGGGCGTGGCACACCCTATGGCATCCTCGGAGTTCTGGAAGAGGAGAAAGAATGAATCAAACTTCAAAACAAACCTTGACTAAGTTAATGATTGAGACTCAGATGTCTTGGATTAAATGCCTGCCGTTGGCCTTATTAAGGATCAATACTCAGCCACTAGCGGACCTGGGAATTTCTCCCTATGAAATGATGTTTGGATTACCATATATAAGTAATGACAGGGATATTGGAACCTCTGAAATAGGAGATCAGTATGTAAGAAAGTATGTAATAAGAATTGCTAACAATTTAATGGAACTAAGAAAGAAAGGGCTTCTGCCTCAAACACCACCATTGGATTTTAATATCCACAATGTAAAACCAGGTGATTGGGTATTGATAAAAGTGTGGAAAGGTTAATCATTAACTCCCGAGTGGGAAGGTCCATTTCAGGTGCTGCTGACCACCGAGACAGCGATCCGAACAAAAGAAAAGGGGTGGACTCATGCCTCCTGAGGAAAAGGGCCAGTGGAAAAGCCTCAGGAGTGGACAGTGGTACCATCAACTGACCAACTACAAGTCACCCTCAAAGGACTAAGTAAATTCATCAGGAGGGGATTGAATGACTCTTAACCAGTAGTTTGACTGGGTTTTTGACTGTGTTCAGAGGTAACACTGTGAAAATTTACTTATTCATTTGCTTACTTGATGTATAGGGAACCACAAAAAAAATGTCACGGAAAAGCTGGTGTTTACCGAGCATTAACTGGCGGACAAGTGTCAGAGTGGCTTTTGGTAGTAGATTATGAGCATTTTGGATTCGATCAGGCATTGCTAGAATATCAACCTAATAGGGTAATACCTTGTCTCGAGTGTATATACGGATGTCATGAAGTGTGGGTTTTGTGTGAATGTGAAATGTGTCACTGGAGGTGGTATTTCTCGCAGATGGAGAAAATTGTGTTATAACTGTAATAGGGACTGCGAGTATAGGGAAGGGGCACGAACTGTAACCTTGATTTATGGGAAGAAGAGGTTAGTCCCCGGAATTTGGGATGTCCCTGAGAGTTGATGGAAGGACACTATTGGAAAGTGCCAAAAGTTTGCTTTGCTTAGAAACAAAGGAAGTGGCTACAAAGGAGCTGCACTTGAATTGACAAACTGTTAACACACGGATTTGTTAAACAGTAGAGGGCAAGACCGGGTTAACCTCTGTGCTAGCCACCAAGAAGACCTTTATCTCAGCTGTGGGCTGCAACCCCATAGGCATGAGAGGTGGGAGTATATGTTATACTGGACCTCTGCTAATCATCCTGGTACGGTTTGCTCTAATAGTGGCAAATCCGTGCAACAAGAGCTTTACTGTTATGTCTAACATCAGCGTGTGGAAAAAGGTTGGACTCTCTTCCTTTGTGCTATGGCAGGCTTACTGTTCTTACCATGTTTAATACCCTGCTTTTTATGGCTAATATCTCATGTTATTGAGGGGATGCAAATAACAGCAATGTCGATAAACCCTGAAATGGCTGCATTGGCTGGTGCCCACAAAGTTATGATATTAAGAAAAGAATGAGACTAAGTGTTAGTAAGCTCAAGCAAAATATGGTATTAAAAAGAAAAGGGGTGGTTTGTGATAAATAATAGAAGAATTTTGCTTTCGCTAAAAGTAATTAAACAATTACTTTTTAGGCTAAAGCTATTATTAGTACAACGATCCACATTTTAAGAAAAGACTTACTACTGGGAAAAGAAAAGGGGGGAATTGATCTGAGGAAACACCAACCCAACAGCCCCCCCTTCTTGGGATGCTCACCAGATGGTCCATATCAAAGGGTGGTAACTCCTTTGCAATGGAATGAGAAAGAACAGAATGGGCCGTCTCTGGTATCCCTTGTCCTTGAGATAAGAGAGGAACTGAAACCACTGAGCCATAAAGACAGAGCTCCAAATTAGCCCAGACTTGAAGGACAAGGTGTACGTGACCACGGGACTGAGTTTGCGCAGAAGTAAGGGTCAGCTAGCGAACACAGTGAAGAAGACTACGAGCCTTCATCTGAAGACTCCTGCCCACGACCACCAGGAAGCACTGTGCAAGCGTGACGGGAGGCTGGAGCGAGGAGAGGAAAGAAGAAGATGAGATTGCAGAAGAAGCCGGGAGGCGTGCCGAAGGTGTTGAAACCGGCAGCTGTGTGGATAAAAGGGGGTTTGAAACTTAAACAATTTGGTGAGCCTGGACGGAGCTGCGACTCCTCGGCCACCCCAGCACTGCATTTGCTCTCTTACCTTAATAAAGATTCATTAATCCATATTTGGATGTGATTGGCCTTAATCTACCTATAACAATTATCATGGTAACCCAAAATGCCAAAGGAGAGCTAGAGGGCCCTTGTAGCATGTGGGAATGCGTGTATGCAATCTATTGCACATATATTCTGGGGATCACCCCAGTTCTTTGTGTGGGGCAGGGTTTGGCTGCTCTCAGCAAAACCCCCAGCACTGCACAGTTGATAGAAGGAGACGTGCTGGAACTTGTCGGCCACAGGCCTTGGGAAGAACTTTGTTTAGAAGAAACAGAGTGCTGGCTCGATATTTACATAATAATCATGGGTGGGTGAGGCTGTAAAAAACAATCACCCGGTAAAAGAGGAACTATTGTCTCTGTTCAAGATAGATTGTTGTAGATAAAGTGGGGGCTTGGAGAGGTGCCTTTGTCATTAGCCAATCTGTGAATGCACAGTGTGGAGTGTAAGCCAATCAGTCTTTGGCATGTTCTGAAGAAACCAAGTAGTTTGTAACCCGTCATCTAGGAACTAGCATAAAAGTATGTGAAGAATCATAATATGACTGACATTCTGCTTGCATCAAGCTGTGTCCCGTCTCTCAATCGTGGCACTTTGTAATGTGATCTGTAAGATCCCTCCCTGCCTATATTTAATGTTAGTGGTGTGAATAGTCATATTAGTAAGGTTGAACATGCTTTTAAAAAATCACATGATATAGGAGAAAAGGAATGGATGCACAAAATCATGGTGAGATTTGTATCATTACGAGAAAAATCACTAGCCATGACCAAGCACCTCATGTCAAGGTTTCTGTAAGTCTCACAACCTAAATTAAGGAGAAAGCAGAAAGTGGGTCTTTATTTGTAGGTTTTGCACAGAGGTTCTTCCAGACATAAAAGATGGCATGAAAGAATAACAATAATAATTAACAAAGAACATAAAATGCAAATCTATTTCTAAACAATATTGGAGGTGACCTGTGAAGCCAATAATTTACTGGAAGACTTCTGTCTGAATTTATTTTTCTGACTAAAGATCGTATCTGTCGTTGTATCTCTTTTCCTAGAAGACTTTATGACCAGGATTTTAACAGCGCATCCATATCCTATGCAACTAAGTAATTTTTATTAAAATACATTGTGTATGTTAAAGTCTCTTTACCTCCTTTACAATACCTGGTAAATAACCATAACAAAAAGTGGACAATAAATTTTTCATAAAAAAAGTCTCAAAGGTTCTTGGTCCTTCCATGAAACTGTCAGCAAAAATGAAGATAAAACCCCAGAGTTTCTAGGTTCTTTCCTTCATTTATCATGAAAGTAAAATATACAGGAAGTGGAGTTAATAATTTTAAGAATTGCCTGACAGGGTTAAATTCTAATCTTACTCCATTAACATGTCTTGTTTTCTCCTAGTACATATTGTAGAACAATTTTCACTATGAACATTGTGTAAATAAAATTTTCTTTCTTTGAAAGGCAAGTGCAAAATATAATCAGTATTACTCTAATTAGGAGAAAAAAAGTAAGGTAGCATAAACCTTGGTTCTACTACATAGAGCTGTGTGAGTTGATATCTGAGCTCACAAGGCTTCTTGGTGGAATATACGTGTTTTAGTGTAACCTAAAGGATGTTCCCATATTAACCCCTTTTCCCATAGCAACCAGACCTTTTGTCAAAGCTTGGTCATAAATGCCTTTTTAAGGTAATCACTGTATTTAAAAATGTTCTGGTCATGCTGTCTCCCAAAACTCCTCTTGTGATCTGACAGTTTCGGAAAAGTTACATGATTCTGGACACATGCATAATCATTATTAAGGTACTGAACCCCTGCTGCTCTGGCCCCTGGAGCTACCCTTATCTTTGGCAGACCGCGCTGAGAGGTCCGTGGAATGACCGCTGTGCCCCACACTGGGCAGACCCCATTTTGTGACCCGCCTCCTCTGTCCCACCGATGCCACCACAGCTGTGCGCCCGACCACATCCCCAGCTTGGGGCAAAGGGTCACACGCTGCGACACCAGGCACAAGACACCGGGACGAGTGCCGTCCTCCTGCAAGAAGTCATGTTCCATCTCCCGGTTCTTCAGCCCTCCGGCACCCAGGTCGTCCCGGGGGCGGACGCGGTCGGTGCTGGGGAACGGGGCTGGCAGTTTCCCTTTGGGAAGCACGCTCCTGCCAGCAGCTCCGCTCAGCCGGCCCCCCGCGGCCTGGCGAACGGGAGCGGCGGCGAGGCCTCCGGCGGGCCCGCGGGGTGGGCGCCCGCCGCAGGCGGGGAGGCCGCCGCTTCTCGCCGGGGGGACGCCCCACCCTCGGCCTCGGGGTGAGCTGTCCAGCGCTAGCACACCACGCGTGGCCTTGCTCCTTCCTCCGCGCGGGTTCCACCGATCTCCGCGGCGAGCGCCGGCGTGCCAGGGCCACCGGGCAGGTACCTCCGCCCCCGCCGCGGCGAGCGCTGGCGCGGGTACCACCGCAGGCTGACGGCGGCGCAGGCACCGCGGCTGCCGCCGGGGTGAGCGACGGCACAGGGGCCACGGCGGCTGCCGCGGCGGGGGGCGGCGGCGCCGCTGCCGCCACACGTACGGGCGCGGCGGCGGGCGGCGGCGCGGGCAGCGCTCTGCCCGCCATCTCGGAGGGAGGATGGCGCGCCGGCCCTCGCCGCCGCCATGGCGGACGGTGAGGGGCGAGGGGCGGCGGCGGCCGGCGCAGGGGCGGGCGTGCGTCAGCGGCGAGGGGCGGGGAGGCTCGTAGGCGCCGGGTTACAAGGCCGGGGCGAGCCGGGAAGCGCCGTGGACGTCGTCGGGGAGCCCAGCCACTGAGTACTCCGGTTTTTTCTCCGCCGCCGCGGGTGGCTGCCTGGCCGGCTGAGGTGAGTCTCGGCGCGGGGTGACCTGCTGAGGCGTCCCGCTTCTCCGCGCAGCCCGGCCGGGCGGGCGGGCTGCGGGGGAAGGGAGGGAGGGAGGGAGGGAGGCCTGGCCCGCCACGCCCGCGGGCGCGGTGCGTGCTGCGCTGCCCGGCGGGAGGCCGGTGGGGGCGGGCAGGAGCGGCCGCTGACCTCCGGGCTCTCGTCCGAGACCGCGGCGGGCCCCGCCACCGGGTGTCCGCGGTGGCACTGGCGCCGCGCACCTTCCCAGGGGGGCAGCGCCCGGCCCTGGCCGCCCCCCGCGGCCGTGGCAGCGGCGGGCAGGCCGGCGTGGCCGCGCCAAGCCCGGTGCCATCGGAGCGGGGCGGAGGGCGGTGGCGGGGCCGGGCCGGGCCTCCCCTCCGCGCCCCTCGCCCGCCACGGGGGAGCCTGGCCGGACCCATCGCCCGTCTCGCTTGGCCTCCGCGGGGCGTGGGCCGGGGCTTGCGCGGTGCCGAGTTTGGTGCGAGTTTAGGTCCAGGCCACGCCGTGTTGCCTAGAGGCAGCCTTCTGTGGGGGCATCTGCGGTAGCTCTGTAAATTATGCGTTATGGCCGCACACACATGTAAAATCCATTATACGTACATACACCTCTACACAGATACGTAAAAATAATATTTGCAGTGCTACAATAGATGCCTCCCACAGGAGGTGCCTCTGTGTGTGTATGTATGTACAAATACATGTGGACAGGCACACACACACTTTTCCGATATGTGATGTGTGAGGTTTTTTTTGAATTTTACTCCGAGGGAGGATTAATTCTTCCCCTTTAAGAGAGGGGGAAACATCTTGCGTGAGATAACCATTGACGTAGCATTGCTATCCTGCTTATGGAGTGTTAAATCCAGCCTGAGAAACTGGGTTACTCTGGGAGTTAGAGCAAAAGGTTTTACTAGCGTTAATGGAAAACAAAGTAAACTAACTCACTGATTTTTATATGCATATGGATGCCCTATTTAGAGGAAACCATTAAAGAGTGATCTTTAAGGTTTGCTGGGCTGTGGTGTTTTTAGTATTAATAATCTGAAATTTGTTAATCTAGCCTGTGGTGTAGAGACAGTCTAGCTGATAGTGGATTTTTGTGTATGTGTGTGCAAGAGAGAGAAGGGAACTTTTTTCTTTCTTGCTTAAGTGCAAATGCTCATTTTGTTTGTTGGACTGAACCATTGGTCAGAGTCAGTTATATAACCCACCAGTGTTTAATGAGAATAAGTATTGTGACAGAATGATTAGTATAATGAAATCAGTGCTGCCTCACTGGATGACCTGTAAAAGATTGCTGCAAATCAGAATGGTCATGGTCTCATTACTCCTTCAAACTCTCCTTAGATAGGAACTGACTGCATCTTTTATCTGTTTCCAGACCACACTGGCACCTTTCTTGGTTAATTAATGTCTGTTTGATTTAGATGCTGAAGAACTTCTCACTTCTTATCTTAATGGTAGCTAATAAGAAAATATGTTAGCACCTGTTTCATAGAGGGAAAACATCAGATCAGGGAGTGGTTTATACTATAAATGTTTAAATTCAGGTGATGTTAACCTCAGTGATCATGTCAGTTTCAGTACTGTTTTGTAAATCAAAAGCTGATGAGGACTCTTGATATAGCAGACAGGTGTTTAAGTTGCTTCTGCATTCCCCTCCCCCCAGTCTGATCTTATTTAGCATCTGCTCTGTATGGAAGCAAATGTTTTGCAGTGCCTTTCTCTACTGTTGTGGAAGATGAGTAATTAAAATGGGATTCTATTCTACTTTTCAATATACTCTCTCCAACAGTGTGTGATCAAGACACAGTATGAAGTCTTTTTGGAGTGTTTCATAGCTAGCTCCTTTGCAAAGAGGCATTACTCTGAGGCATGACTTGGAAAGTACTCGTAATTTCTTCTGTTTTCATATTAAGGTAGATAAAGTCTCTCCAATTATTAAAACCCAAGTTTTTGGAGAGGTGGTGTTGATGCCTATTGGTATTGTAAAGATAACACAACTCAGAACGAACTTAGAACTCTCCTTACTTACCCAAACATCCTATTTGTGCAGATTGGTTTAAATAATTGTGTACGTATTACAGTGCAGAATCTTTTCCAATGAAAGATGGTAAGTTTGCTTTAGTGTTAAGGCTGACACTAATGATTTTATTTTCATTTTTAGATGTGAAAAACGGAAAGGTTTGATATGAAATCACTAGAAGAACAATGTGGTATTTGGTGGTATTAGAGAAACTCATTAGCGTAGAAGAGTCCGTTACTTATGTTCTTAGGCATTATAAGGGTTGATATCTGTTTAAGCCGACATAGGCAGGACACAGAAACAACCACAAAACTGAGGATGAAATGCAAAGAGTAAATTTATTCTTGTGACTTGGGGGATCTGCACAGCAGCATGCAAGCAGGGAAGCGGGCACTGCAAAGCTCAGTCCTTGCTAGTTGGAAAAAGGCGAAAAATCTCAGACATGCTACTTTTGCCTGTGTATCAGGGGTTTTCACAGACATGGTTTACCACTGTGCTTTGATCTTTCCCACAACAGGGCAAGAATCTCAAGCATGTTTGATAAGATGCCTCTGAGTCTATCACAGGGCTATATTATCCTATATATGCAGATGTTCTACTCGCCAAGCACACAAAACTAAACAACAATTTGTATGATATGTGTGTTTTTTGACACCCTATCAGCAAGTCACTTGAGTGTGTTTACAATCCTCCTTGCCAATCTTCTGTTATATTCTCACAGTATCAATCTGAATCTCGTACCAGCCAATTAATATCAATTACTAATCATTTAAAGGGTTTACTAATTGTTTCTAAACTTCAAATACAAATAGTAATATTAGAGCTGAAGTAATGTTTACTTATGCTGACTTACACATTGCTATTCCTTAAGATCTTCTTTATTCAAGTTACTAACATCTCACTTCCTCACAGATATATACCATCCCTCAGACTCGAGAGGCTGTAACCTAGTCATCAAATTGTATTGGCTATACATTCCAGAAAGCCATAGTCATCCTTTGGTCTGTGAAATGTAGTTTGGCGCAACTGTGGTAGAGGTGCATGCTTTTCTGTGGAACTGCTTTCATCAGTGAATGTGTCCTGCACAATCATTCCATAAAAATGGTTTAAAACAAAAAACCTTTTTCATTGAATAGGAATTGGTTTTTAAAAAAAATCAAGCAAGAAAAATTCAACCTTCCCTCTCAACTTTTGCTTCCAGCTGTTACAGTATAGATTAAATAATCCTGAGTGGAAAAACCTGCTTTAACAGGTTTCCTCTGCTGCACTGTTATAAATATGACTGGAATGGCATATGTAGTGTCTTGATAACTCTTATTTGGAATTCTTGCAGTTTTGTCTGCTATTGATAACTTTTTGTTTTTGAACAGTGATATTTGACAGCATATATTTAATCATTATAAATTTAGTAGGTGTTCTCCACTGAACTTGAGATTTCAAAGAAGTTTTTAAATATCTCCCTAAAATATGTAAAAGAATCCTGTCCCAAGAGTGATGAATTTTCAAATCTTACATTAAAATTTCACTAAGATCAGTGAGAATTTTCAGGACTAACATACCTCTGTCTTTGTTTTCAAAGTTAATTGAAAAACCTACTAGTGTTTTAAATTGTACATGTATATATACTAAATGATTCCCTGAATTGAAAATTCAGAAAGATGCATTTGTCTGAATTACATAATGAACCGTGGTGCACAATTATTCAGATTAGCATTTTAGATCTTTGATTTGTTTTCAAGTCTTGAGTTGTTCCTCTCTTGGTCCTGTACTTTGTTTTGTAGTAAAATAACATCTTACAATTTTATTATTAGTGTAGAACAGGGAACCTGCATATTCACAATGCCAGTGTCTCTCCCTTCTGTTTATGGTTAGAAATTGTTTATGGGCCAGAATGAATTGAAATCATCATTTCGTTTTCTTCTATGCTTCATCAGAACATGTAAAATAAGGGTGGTTAAATAGGTTGCTTTAATTCTGTGGCTCACCGAAGAGGAAGGTTAATTAATTGGTGAAGGTGTGGTTCAGTAGCCCCTGAGGCAGTGCTAGAAGAATATAGTCTGTTCAGAAGTTTGAGCATAGCAGCAGTGGCAAGCCTGCTGCTGTAAGAGCCTTTCTTAAGCCCTAAGTATTGATGAACTTTGAATGGTATGGAGTGCTGCATTAACCCTGACTGACTTTATACTTCTAATACACCAGGTGTAAAAATGTGAAATGTGTTTAGGTTAGCAAATGTATTGCTAGAATACCAATCTTTTATCTAGCTCTTTTGCAGGTAGCAGTTCCTTCAAAGAGGAAGGCTCTCTAGCTTGAAGAGCTTTTCTCACAGATGTTGTAGAATTAGCCAGCAACAATCACAACTTTGGGGAATTTGAGTGATTTGTGAGTTGATAATGATAAAATAGTTGAGGATGTTAACAGTAACAATGTAAATGTTACTACAGTCAGCTTAAAAGGATTTTTAAATGTTGGAGTATTTTACTTTTTTTGACACAGCAGCATTGAGAGTTTGTTGTCA